GGTTGGGGTAGGTGGGGTGGATGGGTGGTGGGGATGAGAAATAGGGTGGGGAAGCTTAAAAAAGGTTTTGAAAAATGTTTTCCCTTCTCTTGATAGAGAAAACATTTTCCTCCAATTAGAGGAAAATTGGAGGAAAATGAGTTCATGAGGAAAATATTTTCCAAAACATTTAAGTCAATCAAACATGGAAAAATTGAAAAATATTTTCCTTCGTACCAAACACACCCTAATATATATCGCCTTTTGGTTAATATTCCTTAAGAAATGTTCCTATGTGCAGCGGCAGATCCAGGATTTGAAGGTTCCGGGTGCCATATTACTTTAGACTTTGACTTGATCTCTTTTGAGTTTCGGTTTGAGTTATTGTGTTTTGGGTTTATATAGATAAAACGATCAAATATAACAATTTAATAATTATGCAAAGCATTAAACTTCACTAATATAACCAAAAAAATTAGTATTTTTCATTTACAATTGTCTTCGACGAATTTTCATATTCTGGAGTTATGATTTGACGAAAAGATGCGCAAATAGGACTAAAACTCTCTATAGATGCATATTTAGATACTACAAGCAAAAACTTACTTAATAAACACTAATTTTTTTTTTTTTTTTTTTTTTTTTGGATAGAACACATAAACTTTGAAAATAGAAGCACGAATATATAAAATTAAGAAAGTCAATAGGAACTCATAAGGAAAAAAAGAGTCAACAACAATTGAAGAAAAGAAAAGAAGAAGCAAGGATAAGAAAGAAAATAAGCACACAAAAAAAAAGAAGAAGAACAAAGGAGAACGAATCTCCTGCAAGCAAATCAGAATTAGATATGAAAATTGCAACAGCCAAGGATGGATCCCACGCCCTAAGGGCGAAACTTTGAGCTTTGCGCCAGTGGCACCAAGCAGTTATTTATTATTCTGGGTGCCACTTTGTTTATTTATTCTATTTTCTATATATACATACATGCATATACATACAACGTTTCGACCGAGGTGTGCGGGTGGCATGCCACCCCTTCCTCCTTAGTAGATCCGCCCCTGCCTATGTGATTAAGTATAATACATAAGTTTGGAGTTCAAAAATTAAAGTCAATTTGAATTTAAAGAATGCAGCAACATTAAGTGGAATTGTTAGAAGAAACAAAAAGCCACATAGGTCCCAGTGACTATATTCAGTACTTCAGGTCTTAGGTATTCAGTTCAAAAGTAGATGTCAAACGTGTGGTCTCTCTTTTAATTTTAACCCACAAAAAAAATCTGAAATTTCCAACTCCTCGAACGCCTCAGTTCAATTATAAATAGACTCTGATCTCCTTTAGTAGTAACCATTGAGAGCTGCTACAATTAGAAGTTCCAAATATTCTACTACCTTTAATAAACATGCATTTTCTCTCTCTTTTCTTAGCACTATTGATTTCTTGGTTCTTAGCCCTTTTTGTTGCTCACACATACAAAAGTAGAAACAGAGCTAGTACTGCAAAGAATAGTAGTATTGGGGCTCCTAAAGCTCCAGGTGCATGGCCATTCATTGGTCACCTCCATCTTCTTAGTGACCCGGTCCCAGCTTGTCGAACCCTCGGACTCATGGCTGATAAATATGGACCAATTTTTCAACTTCAGCTAGGAACCCATCCGGCTCTTGTTGTAAGCAGTTGGGAAATGGTTAAAGATTGCTTCACTACAAATGACAAAATATTTGCAAGTCGACCAAAAATGACACTAAGCAAGTACTTTTACAATGATGCTGTTTTTGCTTTGGCCCCTTATGGACCATATTGGCGTGAAATTCGCAAAATGGTGACTCTTGAACTCTTCACCAATAGCCGTCTTGAGAAACTGAAGCATGTCCGTGCATCAGAAGTTGATTGTTGTATTAAAGAATTGTACTCGTTCTGTAATAATAATAATAATTTCCCAACACAAGTGAACTTAAGTAGCTGGTTTGAGCACATAACGTGCAACATAATTATTAGAATGCTTGCTGGGAAGCGATTTTCGAGCAGTGTTAATGAACAGAGTGGAACAAAGGAAATGCAATTCAAAGAATCAATAAAGAAAGCGTTGTTTCTTGGTGGAACTTTCGTTGTTTCGGATGTAATTCCATCGCTTGAATGGATGGATATTGGTGGCCATATTAAAGCCATGAAGCAGACCTTTAATGAAGTTGATAGTGTATTTGATATCTGGTTAAAAGAACACATCCAGAAAAGAAAAGATTGTGAGAATAGTAATACTGGAGATGATCACCAATCTGATTTTATTGATGTGATGCTTTCAACTCTTCCAGAGGAAACCATGGTGTCTGGATACGATCGTGATGCCATTATCAAGGCAACGACATTGGTAAGTTGTTATTAATCGCTTCATCTCAATCTGTGTTCCACAATTTTTTTTTTTTTATTCTTTGATTTGAAAAATACCCTACTTCACATGCAAAATATTCCCTCGCGTGTGTTGTGCTTATAGCTAAATAAATGCAGAAAATAAGGATCCGTTTGGCCGTAGATTTTGCCAAAATATATTTGAGTTTTTTTTGGGCAAATACATGTTTGTTCATAAAATTTATTCATGCAAATTCCCAAAACACAAAACCCAAATCCCAAAACCAGCTCAAGAGTTGGTTTTGGCCCAAAATATTACTATTACATTTTTTTAAATTGTCCCAAACTTTTGTATTTTATAAAAGAGTCCACCATTTATTATTTTGTAACAATGCTGCTTCGCCTTCTCAATCATGATAGTGTGTTATGTAGTTTATTATAAAAATGATAATTTTGTCCTAAATTTATTTATGTTTAGGACTATGGTTTGCGATAATATAATAAATGTTATTGATGAAGGTACTGTTGGGTATTTGTGATAGTTTTAAAATTTGTGGGTATAAGTCATGTTTCATGTTTTTTCAAAAAAAAAAAAAGTGAAATATGTTTGAAAACTCATGTCCAAACATATTTCTTCAAACCAAACTTTGACCAAATCAAATTTTTCAAAATAAATTTAGGAATCTATGCCAAACACTAGCTAAGAGTGATCAGACTTTTTAAATGGGAAAAATTATAACTTACGGTACTTTTCGAGTAATTTTTAAGAATATAATTTTGCCCTAGAAAGCAAATTAATCTATGTTAACATTATATTGAACACTGAGAAAACCGATTGTCAAAACCCTATGTACAACTAAATTATCAGAAAGAGGAAGTACTTTATATTCGTCACATATTTGATATTCAATGGGACACAACATCTAAATTAGATTTTGTTTTATATATTAAAACCACATTGAGTGCTTAATGTGGTATCATTTATAAGGCATATTATCTTTCAATTTATTAAGATAGTGGAGTATTTTTCATTTCAAATCTCCAATTGTTTGGCTTATCGTCTTATTTACTTGTGAATTTGCTCAGATACTTATCATGACTGCATCAGAGAGCACTGCGGAGACATTAATATGGACACTTTCTCTGCTAATGAATGACCGTCGCATACTGAAGATAGCCCAAGATGAGCTAGATGAGCACGTAGGAAGAAACAGATGGGTTGAAGAATCCGACATGAAAAACCTGAAATATCTACAAGCCATAGTAAAAGAAACATTACGTTTGTACCCACCTGGTCCTTTGGCAGGACCTCGAGAGGCTATAGAAGACTGTTATGTTGGCAAGTATCATATTCGAAAAGGCACTCGTTTGATTGTCAATTTATGGAAACTTCAGCGCGACTCGAGTATTTGGGAGAATCCTAATGAGTTTCAACCAGAGAGATGGTTCTTGAAGGAACATATGAACATTAATTTTAGAGGACAGAGTTTTGAGTATATTCCCTTTAGCTCTGGCAGAAGAATGTGCCCTGGTTTGACGTTTGGCACACAAGTAGTGCATTTGACACTAGCAAGATTGCTTCATGGATTCAATATATCAATGCCAAGAGAGGAACCAGTAGATTTAAGTGAGGGGTTGGGCATTGCCTTGCCCAAAATGAAACCTCTTCAACCTCTTCTTACTCCCAGGCTGCCTATGGAACTCTATCAAAGTCTTTGAGCAAGTAAAGAAAACAAAGGATATGCAGTTCGAGTGTGATAATTAGTCAAATGACTAATGTATGCTTAATTAGCACTATCAAATAACTATAACGTGTGTTTTAAAAGGTTTAAGGTTCAAATGTCAAGAACCAAAATATTAATTAATGCTGGGAGAAGTTATTGATTCCTTACACTTAATAAAAAAAATTATGTTTTAAATTTACAAATATTTTACTCATAGTCTCGGTTAAAAACTGAATATGGATATACTTCCATTATCTTAACCATAGTTAAAAACCTGTTTTAGTTCATTCAATTTAGACTATTAGTGTTACAATGGACATGTGTCACATGTTTAAACATTTGCGCAAAATGAAGACAATAGATAATGGGAAACAGCCAAAATCCTTCAAATTATGTGATGAAACCATCATGGTTAAATACGTGAAAATATACAAAAAGATATGTTGCTGTCAAAAGGCAATCCCGTCATTATTTACCCGTAAAACGGTACAGATTGAATTTATAGCATAATTTATAGACAAGCAAATTAATTTGATCCAAAACTAACAAAATAGGAACAGAAATAAAATTAACAACTGAAATTAAAGGAGATGATAAGCCTAACTCAAAATTCAGTCTTTCCGAGGGCAAAAGTAAAAGCAATTGTTAAACTGTTTAAATTGCCCGTAACAAGATACAGATTAAAGTTTTTTTGTGCATAATGTTTCATGTCCCTACAATGGTTGTTAAGTCTGCTATTTATAACTCTATTTAGAGGGACAAGATCCTAAAATCAAGCTCCTCTTGAATGAGAATAAAACCGCCATTGATGGGTGCATAACGATTTCTTTAAATGCATATATTCTCTGTAACAGCTACCAAATGAACGTTACCCGATGATAATGTGGCAAATCTTTGCTATCAGTTGTTCTATCTTATTCGGGACTTATTTGGCGCGGATCGCTAGCTGTTTGCAACCGGTTATAGATATTTGTTGACTCATATCCCATTTGTCTCCAATGCCACGTGTCACACCGTCATTCGCCCAATTGTTATGAATCAGTTTTACCCCATACAGATAGTCCCCCTACTTACCGGGAAGTAGATAAGAATTCCTTTCTTAGCGAGAAAGCTCTTGAGCGGTCTCTAACAATCGAAAGGATGCATGTCTTCCCACATTTAATAACCCGAACACGTGTTTCTCTGTGATCAGCAAGTATTTTCGCTGGTTTTTGAGGTAATCATGACCATGATTTTTGCCATCCATAACTTCTCAGCTGCTCATCATTTTTACTCTGTACCTTTACTATTTTCTCAACTCTTTCTCCTTCTCCGAATTTTCTTAGAACCTTTCTACAACACTCAACTTTCTCAGTAAGAACTTCTTCATTGATCTTTTACCACCATGTCTTCCTACACCCCTATCTCCAAAAACAGTAGCCTTCACTTCAGTGGAGGTCCAAAGAAAAACAAAACCAAAGAGGTCGATGTTGAGTCTGAACCTCCAACCGTAAATACCATCATTATACTTCACCTTAATACTGAGTCTGATCTCTAAGAGCAAAAAGCACTTGCAGATCCCACAAGTGGAGGTGTGGCATGTTCGTAGGTACCCCTCCTCCATTCGTCCTTCTAGCATCCATGTTGTGAGGAATGACTGTAACTACAACAATATTGAAATCTTCGCCCCAGATGGGGTAGAATGAGTTACTTACTCCAGAGCAAGGTTCATGTATATCTATACATATCCCTTCACTTTGGGTCCTTTTGGGATCGGATGAAGGACTTGACCCAATAATCTTGGAGTTCTGCCACCGGTATAGGTCTGTTTGGTATAGTAGGCCCATCTATGTGGTGAACAGTGGCTCGCCTTCGTCAGTTGTTCTCTAAGACTGAGGAAAGCCTGACTCTTGCATACATGATGAATATATTTACTCCCCCAAGATTTTTCGCGGGGGTGTGCTGAAACTTATGAAGCATTGTCACCACGCCCTTCTCACTGGTGTTGATGATGACAACAACCGTGGGTGGATGGAACGGTTTGTCGTCATTACTACTGGGGACATTATTCCATCCACAACGCTAGTTGTTCCCGAATCATGGAACCTTTTTTTCGTAAGTCTTCGTATATTTGTTTTCTTTTCTTCGTGTAAAAACTTTATCCTTAACTGACATTTTTTTTGTTCCAGCTACCCATTGGGAACCACTACGGGTTGAAGGAATGACCTAATAGGGCCAAAAAATATTGGATATCATTACTCCAAAAACTCGATGATGGAAAGAAATGGCTCCCAAATACGGGTGGAGAGCCAAGAACCATGCTAAGCAAAATTCTTCTTTCTTTCTTATATATGTAAACATCTTAAGAATAATTCACTTTGTTTTTTGCTTGCATAGGATTCCGAGGGGTTCTGTCGTGTGCCCCAATGTCGATGCTCTTGATGACCCTGAGGAAGCTGAGTAGGTATTGCAGAATGCCTTTAACCAGATCACGGCTCATGGATATGCTCGAGCCTCCGATAAGGATGCCTCATCTCAGAGTCCCCAGTCTAAAAGCAAGAAACCAAAGAGAAAGCAAACCTCCTCGATTGGGGCTCAGAAGAAGAGAGTTAGAAGCTCATCAACTGAACCGGTTCCAGTGGTTATTGATGATGAAGAAGGGGCTAATGATGAAAGGGCCCCTCTTCAAAGAAGAAAAAGGTCTTCATCATCTCAACCCGGTGCTCAACCGGTAGAGTTTCAAAATCCATCGTCAGAGGAAGTTCAGGCGCTCTAGGGGGAAATGGGTTTGGTTAAAAATGTTGATTCCTATTTTTCGATCCCTGCCGATGCTCCCAGTTTGAGGAGTTCGGCCCTTGACCTTTCTCTGTTACCGACTGCTGAGCCGACCACAACTTCCACCCCCTCCGTACCAACTGCCTCTTCGCCATCTATACCAATAACTTCCTATCCACCGACACTATTTGTCCCTTCTCCACTAGCACCGACTACTTTTTCTCCACTGGTATCGGCCGAACAAGCAGGGAATGCCATGTTCTCTCGACCACGGGAACTTGGGAAATAATTACTCAACACCTTCCCAAGATCCTCGTGGAAGGTGAAGCGCCACTCTTTTGGTTTCGGAAGAGTGCCATACTCTCTCCAAGCCGGTGGAGCTTGCCAATTACCTGAAGCTGCTGACTTCAGTAAAAGAGTGGAAGAAGATGGACTCCCGTTCGGGGGAGTGCCTCAAAAATAACATTATGCATTGCTCAGCGCAGGTAACAATCTCAATTTTTTCCACCTTCTTTCAATTTACATTTTGAAGTAATAACCTTGGTTTTATCCCTTCTTCAGGCCAACTTTCTTGCCTCCGAGGGCCTATAGAGGTTGATTCTGGACAAACAAGAGCTTGTTTCAGAACAAGACCAACTTTTGGCTGAGAGGAATCAGCTTGCTGAGTGCCTCCCGATGCTAGAGGCCAAAGTTGCTCAAATGGATGAGTTCGGGGCCCGACTGCAGTAGTCCGAGCAAGACATGATGGCTTATAGTCAAGAATCCACCTAGCTACACAAGAAGCTCAAGGAAGCGAAGGCTAAATGGGTCGAGCTTCACGAGTTATGACTGCTGCTATCGAGCATGAGTCTGCCTTCATGGAACAAGTTAACAACTTGGAGGCTGGTTATATGTTATCGAGGCCAACCCTGCACTACTATTGAGTAGTGAGAGAGGTCGAATCAGCTTTTACTCGATTAAGGTCGGGATCGATTTCCACAGGGAGCTAGATATTGGAGTCAGGTGTTTATCTAAAGTGGAGTTGTATATTTGCTACAAATTGCACTTCTACACATTTTTGGTTTTGATTATGATTCTAGTTTTATCAAATTACAATGCTCAATTAAACTAAAATAAGCTAAGGTTAAACTATTGCGAGTTGTTCAAATGATTAAAAGGCACTAGGGTAGTGACTTTCGCCTAGGTGGTCAATTGGCGGATACTTGAGTTTAAGGCATGATTGTCACATTTGGGGAGTATAATATAACCATTGCACGATTCTACTCACTCTATACCTCTCGGTAGTTCGAGTGATTTTCCCCGAATTGACTTTCTCAAGACCAATTGGGTATACAAATTTGCACAAGCAATCAAGGTTCAAGTCGGATATTACTATCTCTAGGTTTAACTCTTTAATTGGGGCTATCAATCTCTTGAGTACGCCCCAATTCCTTGTTGGAAAAATTCAGAGACTTAGGCTCTCTTTCTCAAGAAGAGCCAAAGTCAACTAAATATAAACTAGTGTTTGCAACCACTAATTCAGCAATTAAACATGAAATTAGTCCAAATATCAAACACACATAGACAATCAAGCATCAAAACACAAGACCCATCAATTACCCACACTAGGGTTGAGACACAACCCTAGCTTATGGGTCTAGCTACTCATAATTAGAGAAGAAAATAAAGAAATAGATGAAGAAAAACTCATATTAATTAATTGGTAAATTAAACTTGAAGATTCAACGTTGAAATGAAGCTAAAATTACTAAAAATAGGCAAAATAAACGAAGTCACGAGCACATCTCTGAGTGCAAACTATCTGATGACCTAAAAATGGGAAAAGAAGTTATTTATACTAAGCTGATAATTCTGGACAAAAATACCCCTACGGGGCTAATGCGGACCGCACAAAATCAAGTGCGGCCGCGGTGGCTTCTAGTGCGGTCCGCATGAAATGGAGCGGGGACCGCATTGGGCTTCAATCTTCAAACTGGCAACTCTAGGAACATTGGCTCTGCGGACTGCACTAAATCGAGTGCGGCCGCAGTGAATCCAATGCGGACCGCAGAAAATCCTTTGCGGCCGCATTGCCTTTTGTCCTGAGATGCACACACTCTGAACTTCACTTGTGCGGACAACATAGAATGGTGTGCGGCCGCACTTGCCCTGTTTGACTAAGCTTTGCCTTGTTTTGGTACTTGTGCATGTTTTACTCCCTTTTGAGCTGGTTTTTGACACCTTGTCACCTTGTTGATCAAA